CTAACACTAATCCTAACCCTAACCACTAACCACTAACCCCTAACCCTCATTTTCTTAACTTTTTAAATTTTTTTAACTTTTTTAAAAATCTAACTTTTTAATTTTTTTTTCTTTTCAAAACTGTTTTAAAACTTTTTAAAACTTTTTTAAAAACTATTTTTTTAAAAAACATGAAAAACTCCCCGCCCCCGCGCGACCAGCCTCCCTTTTAATAACATTACATTTATAATAATAAACCTTGTGCAATGATTGTGCTTTTACGATTAACTCTATTGATAAATTCAAAATGTGCCGCGAATTTATCATAATGATAAATTCGGACGTGTTTAAGAATTTACTCATATAGTAAATTCGAAGGTGGAGCTCATGTTGACAATACAGCCCGATGATGAGTCAGTCTCAATGAATTCAACTTTTCAATCGATTGATTTCAATTTTTCTAATTTAAAGGCAGTGCTGTAGAACTAAATTTACTAGAGGGGGGAAGCTCTTTTGACGAGCGTGAAGCCGTGAAATCGTAAAAAAATGCGTGACGCCAGGGATCGTGGAGGCATTTTTTGATGGGGAGTTACGCGAACCAAAGGTATGCCCTTCTGGGGGGGGGTCCAGAAAATTTTGAAATATGAGACCTCTCAGGGGCCCGGAAATGCAATAAAACATGCTAGTTTCTCTTAAAAATGTTTTTTGAACGACTCTTAAGCAAGCCATTATATGGGGGTAAAGATTATTCGCTTAGTACAGTTTCCTTAAATAGATTTTTTCTTCGAAATTTAATGCCGTATTTAAGGGTAATTTAAATTGCATTTTCCATGCTTATCGTCCCTACCTTTCTTAGAAATGCTTTTCTGGAAAGTGCGAGCCCATTAATACATAACAAGAAAATAATACATGGAAACAAACACCAGTCCAGCGTACTAATGAAGACTGAACTAATCTACATAATTATGTAAAAGGAATAACTTCAGAGGAGGAATGAGGGTCTTCCCGAAATGCAACGCGCGAATCAGTGCGGCTCATTATTATTCAAGCTATTTATTCTCAACGCGCCGTCCGATTAAAACCTGTTGAAATATATTGCGATTTTTGCCGTAAAGATCTCGTTTTCTCAAAGGTATGTTTCGATAACCTTTTTGTTTAGTTATTTAATAAAAGAAGTTTTGAAAAATTTTGTATATATATCGCATTTTACTTATGTTAAATTCCGATTGTATTTATGCATGTTTTGGGTGTTGGAAAAGTGGCCTTGAAATATTCTGGAGTAAATTGTACTTTTTTGCAAGGAAACTAAAATAAAATTACATCAGTGAATTCAGGAATGTTTACTCTTTATATTGACACTTTAAAACATGAATTTACTCCATAAAACCGAAGAGTTATCGCGGTTTGAAAATGAGCTATTTTTGCTATTGTCGATAATTCGCAAAAATAGCTCATTTTCAAACCGCGTTAACTCTTCGGTTTTATGGAGTAAATTCATGTTTTAAATTGTCAATATAAAGAGTAAACATTCCGGAATTCACTGATGCGATTTTATTTTAGTTTCCTTGTAAAAAAGTACAATTTACTCCAGAATATTTCAAGGCCACTTTTCCAACACCCAAAACATGCATAAATACAATCGGAATTTAACATAAGTAAAATGCGATATATGTACAAAATTATTCAAAACTTCTTTTATTAATTAACTAAACAAAAAGGTTATCGAAACATACCTTTGAGAAAACGAGATCTTCACGGCAAAAATCGCAATATATTTCAACAGTTTTAATCGAACGGCGCGTTGAGAATAAATAGCTTGAATAATAATGACCGCACTGATTCGCGCGTTGCATTTCGGGAAGATCCTCATTCCTCCTCTGGAATAACTTAACGTATTTAAAAAGTCTATGATTGTCCACACTGACTAATCCTGCTGAACTGTTTTTAAAATCAAAATTAAATATTTTTGTTAAGATTGCAAATGAGATCCTTAAATCCATAGATGTTCGGAAATACAGAGCATAAATGCATAATTATATGAAACGCTGAAACAAGATAAAGTATCGATTTATTAAGGACGTCATTTTAATAATTTTGATTCTCCTTCATGGAAAAGTAGTCAGATTTTGTTTAATAGTGTTTTTAATAAATTCTCGATTTTCTAATGTAGAAGGGGGGCTCCCCCCCCAAAGCTTGAAGATGGGGGCTCCGCCCCCAAGCGACCCCTCCACACTTCTACAGCACTGTTTAAAGGGTTTGAAAATTGCCAATTTAAATGTTAATAGTCTTCTAAAACATATTGAAGAGATTTGCCTTTTGTTGTCTGATACTCCCTTTGATATTTTAGCCATTAATGAATCTAAACGCGATTCTTCAATTACGGACTATGAAATTCATGTTCATAATTATTCAATAGTTCGTCTAGATCGCAATAGATGCTGGGGTGGTGTGGCTCTTTATATTAAAAATACTTTACCGCCAGTATCTTGAAAGAAAGAATTTAGTATCTGACAATGTAGAAATGATATGTGTGGAGATTACTAAGCAACATAGTAGGCCTTTCTTGGTAACTACGTAGTATCGACCACCTAACTCTGACCAAGATATATTTAATAATTTCGAAATGTTTTTCTTCAAAAGTGCATGACTTGGAAAATAAGGAAATTATTACAGTAGGGGATTTAAATTGCGTTGTAAATAAATTAACTCCGGACACGCATACTCGTAAGTTGCAAACATTATGCTCCTTATATATCAATTATCCCAAGTTATTAACGAACCTACCATGCAGAGTTAGCGAGACAACAACTATGTTATAAACTCAGAATATCAGTTTCACAATTGTATTTTGACACGTACTTCACCGATTACATTATACAGTACTAATATATCTAAGTCTAAAATAACGTTCTATTTTCATGGGTTTTTAGTGTGGAGTTTCACTTCACACTATTGTGATGGCTGGCGAATTCACACGAATCAGTCAGTCAGGGAGTAAACTTTCCGGGGGGTGTATACGATTTATGTTCGTAGTGATTTATTGTACTTAGTCAGTACTTTGAAGGTTATTTAGGCAATTTCAGTTATAACTTATTTACATATTCTGTTATCCTTTTGCCAAGTTCACAAAAATTTCGAGGAATCGCTTTCGTTATTGTATTTTTTTGTAAATTTTAGAACATTCGCTTCTCATGTTGTGTAAAGGATCTTTACCCCGGAACACCCAATTTTTTCTTTAGTAGCGCAAATGCGCATGCGCTATCAAGCCGTAGATCACGATGGCGTGACGATATGCTAGGAAGGGGTGACAGTGTTGTTTTCAGATGTATAAAGATTTCAGACGTGAATATTGAGTAAATCTTTGAAAATCTACGCAATATATGAATTGATCTTATGCATTACGGGCGTTCAATTAAGTGCCGATAATATTTAGACGGTATATTCATTATACAGAGCTAGGAAGGAGCTAGACCGCCTAGACAGTGCAGTCAAGTGTGTAAACATTTCAGACGTAAATATTGAGTCGAATATCTTGATTCTAGGCATTCATTTAAGTGCCGATATTATTTTCACGGTATTCTCATTATACAGAGGTACAGTACGTGCAGGCAGAAGCGAGACAGTGTTGTTTTCAAGTATATAAACATTTCAGACATGAATATTGAGAAAATCTTTGAGATTCTACGCAATAATAGTAATACAATATATAAATTGATGTTATGCATTACCGTCGATATTATTTGGACCGTGTATTCATTATACATTCTCATTGACTGTATAAGGTGCTACATCACAGAATAGATGGCTATACTCGGTACAAAGAGCGAAAAATTGCATCAGATTTGTATCAGATCAATAAAGCATAAACAACTATTAAACAGAAGCGGGTAAACGTTTGTACGGCGTTTACGAAGAAAAAAACTTACTGTAGTATTATGTACACAGAACTGTATCAAAGTTTGTCAAAAATGTTTTAAACACTGCTATAACTATGTGAAACTATTGAAATCTAAAGTGATATTTATATTCAACACATGCGAAAAGCTGAAAATAGACACACGTCACACTGGGAAAAGTCAAAGGTCAATAAAACTTGTTATTGTGAACCACACCCTGCACCCGTTCCGCACGTTATCAACAATATAGTATTGTAATTGTTAAGCTTAACAACACAATAAGTTATCAACAATATAGTATTGTAATTGTTAAGCTTAACAACACAATAAGTTATTGGGTTGTTACTGGAAAGAAAACCGCAAGGATTGCACAAAAGTTTTAGTTATAAGTGTAACTGTCTTGGGATGGAGGCGGAGAGGTGGCGGGTGGGTAAATCCCGGCAGCTTTATTCCCGGGTTAGGGTTTAGGGGTTAGTGGTTAGGGGGTGGGGGTTAGGGCTTAGGGTTAGGGTGGGGGTTAAGGTTAACAACCCAATACTTATTGGGTTGTTAAGCTTAACAATTACAATACTATATTGTTGTGAAACATGTCACAATTAAGTTAAAATGCGGAAGCGGGTGGAGCGGATCCACGGAACGGATATGTGGATAAAATACGGAACGGGTGAGGATAAAATGCGTCTTTTAATGATGTAACGACGTAGTGCTTATTATTCATAACATATCCTATACAGCTATTTCAATTATAGTTTATTAGATAAATTTAGCATAGCAGTAGCCTCGTGGGGATGCTTTTAGCGACAGCTGCAAATGCAAATGAAAATTTAGAATATGCAAAATTTGGTTGTTGGTGACACAATAAATAGATGAATTGCATCAGTTTCACAAGGCACGTTTCTGATGTGTTAGGCTTGTTTCAAACGTCCCGCTACTCGTGTGCCGAGCGTATTAAAAGCAATAAATAATGAGATGAAATGCCTTTGGTAACTGTTTATTTTGTAGTGTAAGCCATCAAGCTTTTCTAGGTTGTCGGCGACCCTATATAGTTCTTGCAGTGTCTTTTTAAATTTGAAACTTCACACTATCCTTGGATCCCTAGTTATTATATCATTTTTGATATTTATCATGACTAAACCTTTAAACAAAGATACGTTCATGAAGTTATGGAAGGAAGAACTCTTACCTACTATTCTTGACCGTATTCGCGACGAAATTAAACCAATTCGAGATAATATTCAAGCTGTAAAAGCAAAATGCGATCAAATTGAAAGCAGTCAAGCGCTTCTTGCAGAAAAGTACGATAGCATGCTGGAATCGTTGCAGAGTACAAAGAAGCAAGTTTCGGAATTGGATCAATCGTTAAAGCAAAAAGTAAAGAAAATTGATGATCTTGAGAAGGTTTTAAAAGAGCAAGATGTTAAACTAGACGAGATGCATCAATATTCTCGGCGAGATTGTATAGAAATTACAGGCATTCCAGTAACCTCTAATGACAACCCGAAGCAGTTAACCGTAGAGTTGGGAGAATTGATGGGTATAGCAAACATTTCTGAACATCATATATCAATAGCTCATAGACTACCATCTACGAGAAATGTTAAGGATCGGTTGATAGCTAAGTTTGTGCATCGGGAAATGAGAGATGAGTTTTATCGAAGAAGAGGCAGATTAGCCGGAAAAACATCAAATGACCTGCCGCTGATATCACGGGAATACGATCAAAGTACTACGTCTACAAGACCTAATAAAATTCACATTAATGAGTCCCTGACTGCATACCGAGAGCGACTGTTCGGAAAAATTAATCACTTTAAGAGGGATAAACATTTTAAGTATATCTGGACAGCGAATGGAAAAATACTTCTTCGTGAATCCGATTCCTCACCAATTCACGTGTTTACAAGAGTTGAAGAATTCCACGAGTTCGAAAATAACTATACATCTAACTTACACAGATAAGTGGTTGTTTACCTTTTATATATGGTTTAATGGCTAATGTTGCGTGTAATATAGGACAAATGCAGAACCTTCCGTTTTTTAATTTAACCAACACTGAATTTAATAATGTTGTCTCTAGTATGTCACTTGAAAATTATCCAGATTTAGACCTTTGTCAGTGCATTCCTAATCCTGATAAATCTGATGATAATGACTCTGATAATATGCTCACTTCTCCTATGTCTAATTATTATTCAATCGATAAGATAAACCATGTTTTTGAAAATGTAGGGTCTAAGGCGCTATCGTTATTTCACTGTAATATTAGAAGTATTTCAAAAAACTTGAACCTGTTAAAAGAAATGCGCTACTTAATCTCAAAAAACTAGATGTTATAGCTATTACGGAAACACGACTAAATAAAAATAGTGCGATTAATGTTGATATGTTAGGATATAACTTTTTCCATGTTGATTCATTAACCAGTGCAGGTGGTGCCGCTCTATATGTTTCAGAAGAATTAAAATGTCTAAGTAGGCCAGATTTACAAATTGATATTGACCAGGTTGAATCCTGCTGGGTTGAAATTGAAACTGAAAAAGGTAAAAATATAATAATGGTGGGAAATTTGTCTGAGCATGCGCGAGTAAAATGAGCCACGCAGTTGCGTGGAATACGCAACGCGTGTTTACAAAAAGGCACAATCGTGTAAATATTGCCAAATGTTTGTACAAAATAAATTACTGTTTTATGTTGAAAGAGTAGACATGATCTAAATTAATCATACAGAATTTTTTAGTGACGTTCTATTTCAGTACCCTGCCATTGTCTCTGGTGGGCTGTCCGTGTGCATTCGATCTGAAACAGTTGCTACTTTGCTGTCGAAGAATTTCGAATGTTTACATGAATATAGAGGCAAGTCATGCATTTTACAACCTCTTAAACTGTATGAGCCCCTATTTTTACGCTTATACCTAAGATATCAAATAAAAGTACATGAAACAGAGAACATTTGTAGAAAGTTTTATCGTGAGGCCACGGCCAGTTTTTAAAATATCTTTATTTCTGTTCCGGTCATCACCAAAATTACACAAAAGCCGGGCTTGAATATACAACAAATTTTGAATCTCATCAAGCACAAAAATACTTAACGTGTAACCAAAATATGCTCATGAAATGGAAATTAATAGCTAAATTTTCAAACTAGACCCTTCTCGAAGCGGTTTTCATGAACGAAGTTCACATTTCGGCCTTTGATTCTTGGCAAAAATTTGACCACAACACGTGCGAAGCAACTGGGTCTCAAAGACTGAACTAAAACATTGTGAGCCCCTATTTTCCTGACGATATGTTTGATACCTACAAACGCCGAAAAGTTTTTTCTTTTCATTTAGCAATATTTGAAATTGAGGCCACGCGCTATTTTTGAGAAAATGCAGTTCAAAGTCAAGCTATTTTTACATATTTTCAAAATTTGTCAAATTTCGCGAGCTTGTATTTTAAACTTAGACAGCTGAAGTTACATTATGAAACATAGGATGGAAAATTTGAGGCATATAAAGTTAATTTCAACTTACATTTCATTCCCAAATCACGTCTTTCTTCGTTTATTACGGTTTTAAACAAGCCATAGATCGACGTATACGGTATTTACTCCCATGTTCACGTCGCCATATTAACTTCTTCCAATCACTCGATTACAAAACAATCATCCGAAAACAAAGAATTCATGATCGACTTTTAAAAGAATAACCAATAATTTGCAAATCGTTGAATGGAAAGCAAAAAATCGTCAGCTAAAACAGCTTCTTGCTAACTTTCTGCTTAGTTTTGAATGTAAATGCAATGAGCTTTGTTTCTGTCCGCAATTTTTTGGTCAGCGACGACAAATTTCCCACCTGTTGATGAAATGCTCAAATACTTAAATGAATGTAAATATCAAGTTTACTTATTAGGTGATATAAATATTGAGTTTTTTCAATTTACTAAACACCATCCTACAGAAGCATATCAGAAGCATATATATATATAATACTAATAATTCTTTACCAATCATAACCAAACCCACTCGATTAACTGATCACTCGAAAACTCTTATCGACCATATTATATACCAATGCCCCTCTTGATAATATCACATCTGGGATTGGGCTTTTTGATCTATCTGACCATTTACCTGTCTTTTGTTTAATTAATGTGGAACTAAAAAGAATTAAGGAAAGGCATTACTACAGGGACTACAGTGCCTTCAATAAAGAAGCATACCTAAATGATATAAATTTGATTAACTGGAGTAGTATTTCAAATGGTGATACTCCATCTGGTCTAAATACTGTAACTGCTAGAGTCACGGGTATATTGACTTCCGTTATAAATAAACATGCTCCAATAAAGTTGGCCTCGCGCAGTAAAAATAAGCAGCTAACTAAGCCATGGATAACGAATGGTATACTTAAATCTATTAAAATGAAACAAAAGATGTATTATACGCATTTCTATTCCAATAATACAATTAAAATGCGCGCTTATAAAACTTTTGCCAATAAGTTAAATGTAATTAAAATAAAAGTAAAATGATGTATTATAAAAGTAATTTTGAAATGTGTAAAAATAACTTAAAGGCTACTTGGAAATTAATTGGAACCATTATTAAAAGAAAGGCCAAGGCTCAGCAATTACCAACAAGTCTTATAAGGAATAATAAGACATTTTCAAATACTTACGACATAGCTAATGAGTTTAATGAACATTTTGCTAATGTAGGACAAGTGTAAATGGTAATCCAACTAGCCTTATTGATAATTCCCCAACTTCTAGTTTTGTTATGTCTCCAGTTCTTCCATCTAAGGTAATGAAACTTTTTAATGATTTCAATGAAAATAAAGCATCGTTAAATATTCCAAATAAACTTATTAAGATAGCAAGTAGCCAACTTGCAATACCCTTTTCATACATATATAATCAATCAATTAGAATGGGTATTGTTCCTGATTTGATTAAAATATCTAGAATTACCCCTATTTACAAATCGGGTGTCCTAACAGATCCTAATAACTATAGGCCAATTTCTATTCTATCCCCCCATTCAGTAAAACTCTTGAACGTATTGTCTACGATCAACTGTTGCATTTTCTTGAAAAAAACAATATTCTCTTTGAACATCAGTTCGGCTTTCGGAAAGGGTATTCTACTGAACAGGCTATTTTTGAAATTACTGAAAATTTAAATAACGCTATTGATAATAAGTTGATTACCTGTGCCTGTGGTTTATTTTTAGATTTCTCGAAAGCATTTGATACTGTTAATCATCAAATTCTAGCTTCCAAATTAATGAAATATGGAATTCGTGGGAATCAATTATTATGGTTTAAAAGCTATTTAGAAAACAGAAGGCAATACGTTAAAATAGGGCAAACAGAATCTGAGATGCTTACTACGACCTGCGGTGTCCCGCAAGGTTCCACCCTAGGGCCACTATTATTTTTGCTTTATATAAATGATATGCATAAGTGCTCCAAAAAACTCTCTTTCCGCATCTTTGCTGATGATACAAATGTTTTCTTCTCCTCGAAAGATGTTAGCGAACTGGAGACTGTTATGAACGAGGAGTTTAAATTATTGTTAAATTATTGTAGTATTAATAAACTATCAGTTAATTAATTTTAAGAAAACTCACTTCATGATTATAACATCAAAAAGAAAGAATATGCCTGTAATAAAAATTGCTAACGTCAAACAAAAAAGTTATATAAAGTACTTAGGAATCTTCTTAGATGAGCATCTTAGTTGGGAGTATCAAATAAAACATGTAAATAATAAAATTGCTAAAAATGCAGGTATAATAACTAAACTATCTTGATCTCTCTATGCTAAAGCAACTCTATTACACCCTTGTCTATCCGTATTTCAATTATGGAATTATGAGCTGGGGGAATACATATACATCAAAGATGAACAAGATAAGAACAAAACAAAATAAGGTTATCAGAAGTTTTTTTTTGCTCATTCTAGGGAAAATGTAACTTCGTATTTTAAACTTCTTGGGATTCTGAAATTCGATAATATATTGAAATTAAGAATTGCTGAGTTTACCTATAAACTTATAAATATGAAAACAAATGTTCCAAGAGCATTCTCATCCTTTGTTCTACAAGCTGCTAATCAACATACCTATAACACTAGATATGCTAATAAAATGAATCTTGTAAGACCAAAAGTAAGAACTAATTATGGAGTTCATACTTTCAAATTTATTTCCTCAAAAATATGGGAAACTATTGATATCGATATTAAAAAATTATCCTCATTAATTCTCTTCAAAAAAAGCTACATGAATGTATTATTACACAAATGATTTCCAAATTCCAATTCAATGGCTGCCATGGTTGGTCCCAAGCAATCATGTATTGTAAAATGCAAGCCTCTCATTCGCGAAACCCTGAGCCTGTTTTTTCAATCCTAAGTCTCTTACTCGGTCACAAGCAATCATAAAATTTCGAGATGCCCTTTTCTTATACGGCAAACATGCACATTGGGCACTTAATTTGCCTTAAATCCAAATTCGGTAGCTACTCGTACTCGGTCTCCAGCAATCATACAATTGCGAGATGCAATGCTCTTACACACCAAACACATTGACCACTATGACTTAAATCCAAATGCAGTAGCTAATCGTGCTCAATCACTGAAGCAATAATGAATTGTGAGATGCAATTCTCGCATACGCGAAACACACGAGCCGTTCCTTTCAATCCCAAGTCAATAGCTACTCGTGCTCGGTCACAAGCAATCATACAATTGCGAGATGCACTTTTCGTATACGCCAAACACATGGCCGCATTGTCATTGGCCACATTGCCTTAAATCCAAATGCACTGAGCTAATCATGCTGGGTTTCAAGCACAACTGCATTGGAAGATGCACATTGCTGATACGCCAAACACATTGGTCACGGTACCTTAAAACCAAATTCAGTAACGAATCGTGCTCGGTTGCAAGTAATCATGCATTGCGAAATGCACCACTCTCATACGCCAAACACATTGGCAATTTTGTTGAAAATCCAAATGCAATAGCTACCCGTGCTCGGTCGCAAACACTGATCATGCCGGCATTGCTAGATGCACCTCTCTCATACACCAAACACATTAGAAAATTTATTTATCGCTTCCTTTATTTAACACTATATCTGGGGGATATCTTGTTACGATGAGCTCTGTTTTCTGTGCATGTTCTTTACACGCAATAAACGAGTCAGACACCACTTGGAATAATTATGGCAATGTGCGTATTGCATAACGCACATGCCGGTTTATTAATTTTGTAATCAATGACATAAGTTTAACATAACAAATTATTAACCAAAGTAATTCATTAACAGTTAGCACAGAAAAGGTGGGGGTAAAAACGCCCACAACTAACAGTAACAACTATAATAACTAATATACAATATACAAGTAGAATAGTCTTGCGTTCAGAAAAACGGGGAGGAGGGTGGGGAAAAACTTGACTTTAAAATACAGACGACTTTGCGCTACCAAAGCGAAGAGCAGAATGAACCAGATGCGCATTCTGCTATAGATATGTATCACCTCTCCCTTCCGTTTTCCTGCACGCATTACATTCATGTGATCAGAAAATTACGGGGAAAATACCCATGTGTCCCATGTCAAGTTTGTCTATTTATATATCCTAAGCTCAGGAAGCAATAAAATCTTCATTGGTATGCCAATAATTCCTTTATCGCTTCCTTTATTTAACACTATATCTGGGGGATATCTTGTCACGATGAGCTCTGTTTTCTGTGCATGTTCTTTACGAATAAACGAGTCAGACACCACTTGGAATAATTATGGCAATGTGCGTATTGCATAACGCACATGCCGGTTTATTAATTTTGTAATCAATGACATAAGTTTAACATAACAAATTATTAACCAAAGTAATTCATTAACAGTTAGCACAGAAAAGGTGGGGGTAAAAACGCCACAAGTCTACTTGGGTAAAGAAGACATACCCCACCCCAGCGTGACAAGGCATCGACAGATAAAGTGATTACAGACCGATGAAACAAGCAAGCAACAATTCTACAAAATTGAGTGATAGTATTGGCAAATATTAATTAAACTGCTCATAATATAAAAGGGGGTGTTAGCTATACCCAAACAATTCGTGCCCCTGCGTTGAACTGCCAGGTATAACCACCACCGACAAGACAAAAGTGTTCTGATAGCCTTGCCCCTGCGTCAGCATCACAGAACACTCTAAAGCAGTATGTCGCATATGGTAACGTGCATCATAATAATCATTGTAGTCAAGTCTTGCCCCTGCGTCAACTTGACCAGTCAGATGTGCACGGAAGCGGAGTTTGCCAAAATATTAAATGCTTATTGACAGCCATGATCAATCCGGTGAAAAAAGACAAACAACCAAACTCGGCCTATCTAGGCAAAGCGGTTGAGCACAGGCCTGGACCTCGAATATACTTACGAAAGGCGTCGGATTTCCACCGACCCATTGATCGAATTTGGGCATCAGAAAAACCGCATTCCGCAGCAAATGTTGCCGCGCCAATGCGGAAACTATGTCCTTTGTATTTAGTTGGATCGAGACCACATGTCTTGAAAATGAGTGCTAAATAGTCAGTAAAAAGTTTGCGTGAAACCGCGTGGCCCTCGTGCGTTCGAAAAAGCGGGCCATCCGACAAACCCCGGCGTGAAAAATAATCCAGTAAGCTCTGCACTGGGCATATATCTGAACGACGCTTAAGAGTGATTGATACATTTGTTTGGTTGTAAGAATGCTTAAAATCAAAAAATGTGATTTTCAGTCCAATTACGCCGCCTGAATGGTCGACAAGTTGGACAAGCTGATTTAACTGAAGCACACTCGATGACCTGGGACAACAAGTGATTTCCCCAACACGTAAAAAGGCAAAAAATGCCGTTGTACACATTGCTTTAAACATACACGCACGGTATTCGCTCGCACATATGGTTGATGTTTGTTGCAACACCGTGCGAAGGATAGAAAGAGTTATGGGCATGCGTGTATCCAAGCGCGACCCAAGTTTGCCATACCCTTTCAACATTTCAATCACCCAAAAGACCCTAGTGGGGTCTGGCACGCCTGCAAGGCGATGATAATAACCCAGTGCAGAGACATACGTGTTCGCAGTCGAAGCAGCATAATTGCGCTGAAACATGTAGGCTATAAACAAACCTAAATTAGAAGGCGATATGGGCAAATTTACTAAAGCTGTATGGAAAACTACATTTGAAAACTGGCTATACAGGTTCCAGGCCCGGCGATAAGTAGGGATTGATGATGGCTGTAAACTAGATTGAAGTAATTTAGATGTTATATTGGCCAGTTGTGTGGTAGTAGTTGATCTGGTATAACTGCTGGTGATGGTTGTACACCCACTGGAGCTAGCTGTTTGAACTTCGAAACCTGTAACCGGGATAAACTATCAGCTAAAACGTTTTTAACTCCCGGAACATGGCGAGCACGAAATAAAATATTGTACTTCAAACATGCCAGCACCAGTCGGCGAACAAATATCATGACAGTCACGTCACGAGAAGTGGCTTTATTTATAATATCAACCAACGCCGCATTATCCGTATAAAACGTGATCCGCTTGTTGCGCATCTTATCTCCCCATACAAAAACACTGAGTACAATTGGGTAGAATTCCAAAATAGTGATATTAAGTCGCTTCCAATTTTCAGGCCACTGGCCAAAAAGCCACTCGCAGCCAAAGACCGCACCGTAACCCAAACTACCAGCCGAATCAGTGTAGAGATTTAAACTGAACGAATCAGTCCATACGTCGCTAAGAAAAAACGATCGGCCGTTAAAATCATCTAAAAAGGAACGCCAAATTTCGAGATCCGCTTTTACCGATTTGGTAAGACGGATAAAATGATGCGCAGATTTTATTCCCTTCGTTAAATCGATCAGACGACGCAGAAAAGCCCGACCCGGGACAACGACTGAGCACGCAAAATTAAGTAAACCCGTCAATGATTGAATCTCGCGTAAAGTAACTTTTTTGCGTCGAAGAAAGGCTGAAACTAAAATTTTGCATTTCTCAGTTTTGTCCAGAGGCAAACGGGCCTCCATGCGTAAACTATCTAATTCAATGCCTGCGAACGAAAGGATATTTTCCGGACCGACTGTTTTCGCTGGCGCCATTGGTACGCCTAAGTAATCGCAGAGAGATAAGAAACGAGCAAGGTCAATGCGACATTGGTGATAAGTAGGCGCTGCCATAAGATAATCATCAAGAATGTGGATTAAATACGGGATTGACAAGTGTTTCTTAGCAACCCATTCGATAGCAGTGCTAAACATCTCAAAAGTACGACAGGATGACGCACATCCCATTGGCATAGCACGATCATAATAATACTGTCCCTGCCAAAAAATTCCTAAAAGATCGTAATCAGATGGTTTGATTGGGATAATGCGAAATGCACTCTTAATATCGGTTTTGGCAAGAAAACAACCAGAACCTAATTTTTTTATCATAGCAACCGCATCATCAACACGAGCATACTGTCAGTACGCATGCTCTTGTGCAATCCCATCATTAACCGAATCACCTCTGGGAAAAGACAAATGATGAATTAAGCGATATTCCCCCAGGGCTTTCTTAGGAACAACCCCCAAGGGTGAAACACGAAATTTGGGAAAAGGCGGGAAATCGAAAGGCCCGGCAAGTCGACCGGCTGCCAATTCTTTCGAGAGTTTAGCACTAACTATCTCAGGATTTTGTTGCGCAGAAATTAAATTATTTGCAAAAAATGAGGTTCGCGTTCCTTCAAAATGAAGAGAAAAACCAAACTTAAAACCAGTATACAAAATAGATGTCAATCCCGGATCATATCCACATAATAAAGGTTGAAGATTATCAATTCGAACCGGTGTTGGAAGGACGAGATTTGGCCGAGGTCGGGGCAGAGGTGTGCTGTGAGGAACGAAAATTACACCGTAGGGCTGGGTGAATTACACCACACTTGCAACAATTATGTTTATAATTGCAACCAGGGCAGTGATCGCCACGGTGAAACCTGCGACAAAACCCCCTGGGAACAAAGGGCCCGGCAATTGAAGAGGACAAGTTGTTGCGCACAGGCGGTTGAGATTTTGAAAAACGCGCATTATTAAAATTCTGTGCACGGATCCAAAGTTCCCAATGCGTAAACCCCCATGGCAACTCGGTCGGATTAGATTGACGCAAGAGACGAAATTGTGAGTCATAAAAGCGCCAGTCAGCCCCTCGCACGGCCAAATCCCGGACAACTTCACTATATTTCATCAATGCTGGGGCCTCCATTGGATATTTGGCAGTGTACACCCCTACAAAAATTTGAAAAGCCGAAGTCCATACACCAATGTTAGCAATGGCTTTCGGCTTTTGGGACGGTTCCAAAGACAACGTCGGCAAAGCTGAACCGTTTTGGGAGCTCACAGACAAGTGATACCGGGTATCACCTGCCCCTGAGCTAATTAAAACACCAAAATCGACGAATTCGTGAGACCAAATCTTGGCCTTAACTTTTGCGCTCACATTCGCATCAATGGGTACATTGATGGAATTAAATTTAGGCAGACCCGGCTCTACAGGCGGTGAGACTTGGATAAAACTAGTCTCACCTGAAAGATTATTTAAGGCAGACGCTACCGGCCCCTGCATAGTAGCGTCTGCAAAACTAGCTATACCTGACGCTACCATAGGCAATTCCCTCGTTTCCACAGCTGAAGATGGCGGCGGAAGAGTAGTGGCGCAGGCTCCATTGAGTGACGCTAGCACAGCTTGGGAGACGGCGGAGACGATCCGTTGAACCGTTTCGTTAGGAACAGTCGTCGCTGGCGATGCTGCATCAGGTGCTGACGTTGTGGCCACGGAGGAAGACGCCTCACAACTAACTCCACTTGAATCTGGTTGCTGCATAGTGGTGGCACTGGCGGTTGCTGTTCTTCTCCGAGAGGATGGACGACGTGGTGCTGCTGGTTGTGCACGACGTTGAACTCTTGTGCTAGGTCGAGTAGCAGGCATTCTGAAAGAAAAAACTAAAGACCGAAGACTTTGCTTAACGGGGGCCACATCAGGCCCTGGAATATTAGACAAGAGGAATTTTGGAAAATAACAGACGTCATATTGCACAACCATTTACATATTCATGCAACGGTGACAAATAAAACAACATATAAGCAGCAGAATAATCATGGCATACAGCGAAGGTAGCCGCAATTGATTATCCTTTAACGCCGCAAAAAATAATATACAAGGGCAATCTGAAAACAACATGCCGCACCGTCCCACAATATATTGACAACAACTGTGGGCATCTGAAAACAATAATTGCTCTATCCCACTTAGACATGCATTTTTTCCTTGACACAGGATCGGCAAGTCATATATACCTATAACTATAGAAAAGACATCTTATATACAACACAAGGAAACTACAAGAACACTCCACACACATGAAACAAAACAGATACATAAACTATTAAAGAAGCTGCGAATTGTACGTATATATAACCAGCGCAAATCATGAATATGTCCTGTGTAGAAAAAACCCAATGTTGAAGTCTCAACGTGGGCATCTGAAAACAGTCATGTTGCTCTAGCCCATATGACATAAACATATAGTAGTGGTACATAAACGGCAACCACATACATAGGGGTAAAATATAAAAGAGTATATAATATAGTGCACCATAATTATCAAACAATTATGCAATAATAATGTCTGTACCAACGGCGTAAAATGAACACATATTGGAGCTAAGGACTATAACATGGTGAGAGCTTTCAAGATGGCCCCACGATAGCTACGGTATAAACAGTACTGTCCCTGTGCATTACAGTGCACACCATCTGAGGACAACAAGAGACGATCAGGGTGAGAAAACTCCCTATGTTCCCACACAAAAATGCCTTGTTCCTCAGCAAGGACAACAGACAGGTACTGGCGTAAAAGAGCGGCTTTGGTATTAAACGCATTATCAGGTGCCTGAGTGCGAGGCAGATTCCGATTAATCACTTGGCACACAGCAACAACGCGAACTTTATACTGATCGCGCAGAACGTGCACAAGATCATCGAGTTTCGACCCCACTACTTCAGGGGTGTGACCCGACAAATCGTTAGTGCCCATTTCGAGAATCACGATATCGGGCTTATACTTTTTGACCCATGAGAGATCATATTTAAGCACTTTATCTACGGTTCTGCCACCCGTACCCAACAAAGAAGCATTGCCCGATTCGGGTAGATGAAAATTTGGGGCAGCGCGTAAATCAAAGTGCGCTTCCAGGTCGTCCCGTAAACGACGGACAAAGGAATGCCCGAGAAGTAAAATAGTTGGAACACACCCAGACATTACAACTTTCAGATATAAAATGAAAGAAAATTTACCTGATGGAAAAACTTGACTTTAAAATACAGACGACTTTGCGCTACCAAAGCGAAGAGCAGAATGTTGTATAAACTTTGAAACAAACCGGTTATACTCTACATAACTAGTATAGAACTATCGCCCTGAACTGGGTCCGAAAAATTGCTACTATAGCTCTGCAAACGTCAGATAAAAAGATTAGGGTTGGTGATTTCAGTAGCCAACAGCTATAGGCACGTTCGGGAAACCGAACAATGAAAAACCCATTGCGAATATAATATCTATGATCCCAAGACAAAGTTGCTTTAGGATCACTAATTAAATTCTGTGTCTGAATGCTTATCATTTCTCTGCATGTATTTTTGCGAATTTTCTTATTCTTTAGATTAATGACCAGCGAGCTTATGTCAACCCTAAACATGGGTGGGCATGGCGATAAAACAGATAGGAAAGGTGGTGAGAAACAAGAGAAACACAAGACAAGAACACATCGGTAGCATTTATGAACTATATTTATGTTAAATATTTTTGTGTGTATTTATGTATATGTTAAATGAATAAATATTTTGAAAAAATGTCCAGCGTTGGGTTTGGGTTGAATTGACGTAGAAACATGCATGTCAAAATGACGTCATTACTCCAATGTCGATCATTTGCATTTTCACCTGCTTTTAAACATCGATACAACGTCAAAAATGAAACATGGAAACGAAATGGATTTCCAGACGTTGAAACGACGTCGATTCATAGACGTTGAAACGACGTCGATTTCCAGACGTTGAAACGACGTCGATTTCTCAACGTCGATTCCGTTTGCGTTTTCAACCCTTTTTCGACGTCGATTCGACGACATCCTCTGACGTCGTTTCGACGTCGATTTCTCGACGTTGAAACGACGTCGAATTCCAGACGTTGAAACGACGTCGATTTCTCAACGTCGATTCCGTTTGCGTTTTCAACCTTTTTTCGACGTCGATTCGACGACATCCTCTGACGTCGTTTCGACGTTGTTTCGACGTCGCTTTGCCGGCTGGGTTAAGGCCAGTGTTTCACGACCGCCCAAGCTTCGAAAACATCCCCTTTCCTAGCTCACGAAGATAGCCATCAATGAGGGGGCCGGTTAGCTCAAACTTATTAGCAGCTCTCTCTTCAAGTATAGCGTCGAGACTTCGCATGCCATAATTTGGCTTCTCTTTGCACTTCCAAACCGCGTCCAACCACAGCTTTTCCACAGAAAATTTCATAGCCACCGCGGCAGCGTTCCAAGATTTCTCCGATCGCTCGGTATTACCACCAGATGAACCAAGTTTAAGCGCCAAAAGTGCTGCTAATACTTCGTCAGAACAGGCAGCCATATCTAAATATTTCGCGAAGCAAAAATGTGGTCTCATGGGGCATACCGCTAGCTGCGCGCAAGCCTGCGCTTCTGGAGGAAAACAACGTAGCAACTGACCACCGTGCATACGTGTACACAGGTGACGGAGCTCGAGTAGTGAAGAATACATCTCTAAACGTACGCGTTGCTAAAATACAAGTAGCCTCTTACGTGCAAAGTTAGAGAATATGACCATTTTGGCTCAAGCCACAGTTGCTACTCCCTAGATCCACTCCTGGCCAGTCGAATACACGACACGCACGTGACGAGAAACGTCCATAATCCTGCAATAGAGCAAGTCAAGATAATAAGTTGTTAACTTGTTCTTCTGTGTATACGTAGTTTCCACAACATGTTCCCATAAATAACAGGTCATGTTACAAGAAGCAGTTCTTGCTTCAACTTTAAATGTGATTTCTGATATGGAGCCATGTTATCATAGAAAAATTATAAGCATGACATTTTTCATCGCAATTCTTTCATTCTTCATCCCTCAAGAGAATGTTAGGAAAGAAATTGTTGGCAGAGTAGGCTGGGGCTGCGACCACTTTTAGATAATATAACTCTGTATTCAAACTTGCGTTGCAAATTTCAGGATATATTGCCTCGTATAACACAGCCTTTACTAATTATACAGACTACTCCTCTTTATAGACATCGACCGTACCTGACCAGAACAGTTTTGAAAAGATTCCAGATGTTCCAGGTCTTCTGTCATATCGTACAGATGATAAACAACTTTATGTCAATCAAGGATCAAAGTGGCAAGCATTGAGCGCTGCACAAGAGGTTAGTTTTGGAAGTGTTAAGAATTAATAATCATCACATACACGCAGGCATAACACAAGATGCATTTCCAGACGATAATTTAGATGTCATACAATATAAATTATATATTTATTACATTTTCCAAAATATCGCCTTCAGTTGCATTTCTCACAACTGCTTGTGGTTAGGTGTAATAAATGTATAAAATGTACTCTCGAAATTTCCATCTACAAAACCCTTCAAAAATTAGTTCTGCAATTACGAGTGAGATGCCCAAACTCTTGGTAGAATAAAACACTCTGTGCTCTCAATTCAAGATTAGAGTATAGCTTTTTGGCAGACAAAATGTCCATTGAGATTATAGGCATTGGACATGCATGCTAATAAAGCTTATTTATCTTTTGATATAATAAGCTACAAGAGGCTTTTCGAGGTTTGTAACTAATGAAAATATTATCAATTTCTCAAAATTTCCTTACTTTCTACTAATTTACAACTAAGGTTGCCTTCAAGCATGTATAAAAGCACATCCATTGGTCTTTCAATGACATATAATCTTAAATCGAAGACTTTGTCGTTGGGAGAGGGGGCGTGTAAGAGTCTCGGGCGTGTAAGAGACTAAATTACGTTGAAATTAGTAAGTGTTTGTTTTGAAGTAGCAGGTATTTGTTTTAATTAAAAGAATATAGTAGTAGGTTCTCCGAGAAAATTTTGAAGATTTACACCCACAGAAAGAGCGGAATTCCAACTACAATGGAAGTAGTATAGGAACTGAGGTTTCTAGACCACTTTTTCCCGAGCTCCAATTTTCTAGACCACTAGCAATTTTTCTTGACCATCAGTTTTTTATCTTTATTAAAAATCATTTATTTTTATTATATTAAAATTAATGGTTGGTACATTTAATTAGAATGTGAAACTGCTGTTCTTGTTTTTTATTTAACTTATCTCAAAGCTGAGACTACACTTTCCCAATATCATCCAACCTTCCTATTCCAAAGCCTTTTCAACATCTTTTATTTCCTCCTTGAGGGTACACAAGGCAGGGGGCTCTTGTAGTCCGGATACACTGTTGGTGTCATCCTTTTTACCCTGTGTTGTTACTCCAACATTAATATTATTTGATACAGAGAAATTTATGTCACCAGACTTCCCAGTTCTACTAGACCTCTTACGACAGCCACATATTTTACCGATACATGAGAAACATGACCGCCACTTTGACATGATACCTTATAGTACAACAAATGTTAAGCACCCGACCCTGAATATCGAAGTGACCAGCAAAAGGACATGTCCATACTAGTACCTGTTGGCATTGAGTGTTCCGGTTTAACTATAATACACCAAGCCAGCGTATTATCTACCAGCTCGACCTGATTTCCTAAATAGAACATACTATTACCCTTGAAAACGTAGCAAGCTGTACTTCCACCTGTAGTTGTGTAAGTTCCATTGAACCAAGTGTGTGACAGTCTTCTTAAGTCTATTGTTCTCAGAGCGATTTCCTTTTTAACCTGAGTAAATTTTCCATTAGATTGTTTTTCCCATACAGTAGCCCACAGGATTAGAGCTAGTGGTATATTTTGAATGGTTGAAAAACGTGGGTATTCTGTTTTAATAGTAATTGACTCAAGGTTGAGGTCTGTCATATTATTAATAGTATTTGTTCTCCATGAAGGTGAAATCTGATCGTGACAGTAAGCATAGTACCTTGCTGCTGCAACTGATACGCCACGATAACCCCAGATCCACTCTGCGTGAATGTGATGGTTTATTCTTACGTATCTCTTATCGGCCGCTGCTTGTACAAGACTTGAGGAAGGTTATACGAAATTCTTTTCTACCCATTGCTTGTTAACTGCATCCTTATCATTTACAGGATCCTTTAGATCAAGAATTCCACTTGAATCTCCCATATCCAAATCACCTTTTACCAGTCCACCTCTACTACTCATGAACTCATCAGTTGCCCATTTCTTATTAACAGCGGAACCGTCAGTTGTAGGATTTCCGACTCTTGTTAGCTCATAGTCATTAACATCTAAATTACTACTTAAAGTACCACCATTACGTTTTAAGAACTGTAAGCACCAGGAACTCATAGATCCATAGGAAACTGCACTGGAATCCCCAACCGACCCACTATTTAGTCCCGTAATACTATTACCAGCCATGTCAATATTATCGCTCATAGTGAAGCCACTGTTACTGATAGAACTTCCACTGACATGATCGGTGACCCATTTCTTAGACACAGCAGAATTATCAGTAGTTGGAGCACCTAATTTTATTATTTCATTGTTTCCCATATCAAGGTCATCAGATAGTGTAAGTCCACTGTAAGTTTCACGTCTGCTTCTACCACCACTAATTTTATTTTCAACCCACTTTTTTGTGAGAAGTGAATTTTGACTATTAGGGGCAGCATCGGAGTAGATCTGGAAATTGTTTGCATTCATGTTGCCGGTTAGGGAAGCGCTACCCCTTTTAAGATAGAATCCGTCACTAAGAAGACGCTCACCTCGTACATACGATGCCAGCTCTTTATGGTTAACAACTGAGGTGTCACTAATGACACCCCCGACACCGTCTATTGAATTTCCACCCATGTGAATATTACCCTTCATTGTGAATCCTGAGGATTTAGTATATATTGAATCAAACCCGGATACCTTGTTTTCTACCCACTTTTTTGATACAACCTCACTATCTAGTTTAGGATCAATAATATCAAACAATCTCCAACCTCCCATGGACAGATCTCCTTGCATTATTCCACCTTTTTTAACAAAGTTATTATCAACCGCCCACTTTTTTGTAACAGCGGACTGATCCTCAGAGGGGTCCTTAAGATTCTTAATCTCATGGTCCTTCATATCAATATCACCAGCAATATCAAGTCCAGATACAGGTCTATTTAACATTCCAACAACCCAGTCCTTACTAACAGCAGACTTTCCAGTTGTAGGATCACCTAAAGCCTTTATCTCATTTGTTGACATATTGAGATCATTTGTAAGGATAAGACCAGGTAAACTTACATGTATATATCTACGGCTACCTTCGACCCAACTCTTACTAGCAGCGTCACCTGGATTAGTAGGATTATCAAGATTAGTTATCTTATTACCTCCCATGTCAATATCTCCAGTCATTGTAAACCCTGCTGGTTGAATTGTAAGAACAGCTCTTTTTATAATCTCGTCATCCACCCACTTTTTTATGGTAGCAGACGTATCATCTGTAGGTGCACCTAAACCCTTTACCTCATTACCGTCCATCTCAATGTCACCCTTCATGGTAAATCCGTCCTTATCAAACACACTACCAGTTGTTGGATCAATATTATTTACACCTTTAATATATCCCTTATAGAGAGCCATTTTTATAACATACACAATGTTTCACAGAACAGTTCTCAATATAAGAAACACAGCAACAGACCCGATACCAAGTCCAGCTAAAGCGCCGTCACTTGAGGACTCACGGGTACTGACCACCTTACGCCTCATGATAGGAACAACCTGTGGTGTAACACTTACAGGACTCCCCGGAACTTTCACGTTTCCACTAAGAGTATCAAGGTGGTGAACTGGTGTGATATCTTGATGCTGTTTCTTTGGAGGATCAACTTGCTTAACACCTACATAATTTACCTTAGGATTCACACCAAATTTCAT